AGACACGATGGTGATGGCCATTTCAAACTCATCAGGATGCAGGAAGGAAGGCACAACAGGGTGACATTTCAACAGACATACTATTGAAGTATGTACCAGGACAAGACAGACAGACAAATGGAACAACCCAGAAAAAAGCCTAACATACAGAACCTTGAAGCAAGAACAAACTTCTTACTTTAGGGCCACTCTTCTGAAAAGAAAAACTGCAATCATCACACTGACAATGTGATAACTTAGTGGAGAACTGGCCAAATATATTGTATCATGTCCGTGCCCTGGTTTTGATATTTTACTATAATTAGGTAAGATATAACCTAATTATTTTATCACAGTCCCTATTTAATAATCTAATTATTAAATAGGTAAGATATAACCTAATTATAGTAAGGGGTAATGGGGTGAAAAATTTTGAGAACAGAAGTCAAATCACCTTTAAACTAATTTGTCCCACCCACCAAATACTTTTTCAATATGCCTAAGTGTCTTAGGTCTGACAGTGTATACGATTTATCTGAGTAAATTTTCCCTCATTTTGTGACATTGAAAAGAATACCTTCTACCTTCTAAGACCAACATGAAGATCAAGTAAGACTGTTCATTTTTATAGTACTTTCTAACATGACAAATGCAAACCATATCCTCACTTATTCAAACCTCAGTTATCTGAATCAAACCATAGGGCAATAATGCACAAGTACAGTCTACTATCCAGTAGGAAACGATTCAATTACTAACAATATTTAAAAACTATTAAAATACCAATTATCCCAAAATGGTGAGTGAACAACTCCTTCAAATGTCATAGTAACTTTTTTGTTGAAATCAAGTGAAAATAGATTCCCAAATTACTCCAGACATGGCTAAATGAAAAAATAAGACAAACTTTCACTATATACCTAAAAACCTTAAAATCTTTAATGTGGTACATATACACAATGGAATATTACTCCGCAATCAAAAAAGAGAAACACATGTCTTTTGCAGCAACTTGGATGGAGCTGGAAAAGATCATGCTTAGTGAGATAAGCCAGAAAGAGAAAGAAAAATACCAGATGGTTTCATTCATAGCAGGAGTATAATGGACCAGGCGAGAAAATAACAAAAATAATGAACAACCATATACCAGAGACATTTTGTGGGGGTGGAGGGGGTAATGGGATCAAAAATGGAGGCGGGGGAAGGGAGAGAAATGCACGGGACTATGGTGGTGGCACATGGGTGATTTGGTGATGGGAAACCCGCGGGGATTATAATCGAGATGGAAAAAAAAATATGTGCAAAATGATGTAAAAATAAACTTTTGTAATAAAAAAAAAGTATTGGAAACACCAAAAAAAAAACCAAACCTTAAAATCTTTAAAAACAATGAGGACCTTTCCATTAAGGACAATTTTAAGACTCAAAAGACACTTGTATATTACTTCAAAAGCTACGTGGGTCCACTAAATCTAACAAATCAAGGACTTTTTTTCAGTTAACCAATTAAAATCTCTCTCCAGAAAAGATATGTTTAGTAAGTATTCCAAATATATCTTACAACAATTTTCTCACAGTTAATTCTGAGGAGAGAAAAATGGCACAACCCCCAAGAGGCTGAAATTTTGTGGCTCAGTTTTTACAGAATAAAGTAAAAATACCTTTCATTCCTAAACATATTTGCACAACTGACGTGTGCAACAAGGGGGTTAATCAGAACTAAGTGAACAGTTAGTTGAAGTTATAAAACTTGACTCCCCCAAAACTAAGTATTATTAACAGCCATTAATATAGTATTTTGTGTGTTAGATTGTATTCTTAAAATCAAGTACTATCTAAAGAAAACAATGTCAAGAAAAATCTTAAGAGAAAATGTATTTATAGTATTGTACAATCAATGTACTTGTTCAGTAAGCTAGCTTTGCCAGTTTATAAGAAAACTGCCGTAAGTAGACCCAGACAGTTCAAACCTGTGTTATTCAAGGTTCAACTGTACTAACATCACTCTTTTAAAGTTTCTTGGTAAAATTACAACTGAGAACCAGTCTTCAAGAATAACTGATTTAACTAAATGGAAAGCATGTTACAATTCCATAAAAGACCGCAGTTAACCTGTACTGTGTGTATATGCTATATGCTTCTGACATTCAGATGTCAACTGTATCTTGAAAAAACACAGAAATTATAAAAAATAAAGGTAATGATTATAACTCAAGATTGTGACTATTAAAAATTTTTGATTGTTTTACAAATAGATTATAGAGTAAATAAAGACAATCTCACCAAGTTAAAGGACTATTTTGTAAATTAGAGTCGCATATAACTTTCCATAACTTGTTAATAGTTTACATTCCTTTTAACAACCCTAAGGGACATCTCTAATTCTCTGTACTTACTATGGTGCAGTATGACCAGCTAAAGATGGGACAATCCTCCTCAATCCTTTTCTTATCTTTGATAGTAATCCAAGATACCATTAAAGGAAACCAATTATTGAAAACTGCCCATGTTTTGGACCAATGCCAGTAGTGCCCCAGTAGTGTCCAGTCTTGAAAAGCACAAACAAATCTTAAAAATAGCCCATTTGTTTAACTTGCTTTGTAAAAGACAAGTTACCAATTATAACACATAGGTTCTTAAGTTATTAGATATTGTCAATGTAAAATTTCTGAAGTCATTAGATTTTTTAAAAATCCTAAGTTGAAAAAAAGTAAAATTAGTTCTATAATTATAGTACCTGTTCTTACGTTACTTATACAGCCCATGCTAAGAGCACATATATTCCAACTCACCTACATTTGACTTTGGATAACAGTTCTAATCTTCTGAATACAAATATTTTATATATCTGAAATTCATACTGGGAAAAAAATCTACAGGCATACATAAAATCTCATAAAATCATAGACATACACTTTACAAAGCTTAGTATTAAACACATATTAGCAATAAAAGAAAACACCTGAGTCAAGTATGACTAAGTACTAAATAATGGAAGATGCCATTGTATCACATAAAAGACAGAATTACACAGGACTCCAGAATGTAGATTTTGTATTTAATGATATTATAGTCTCATATAATATACAGGATATGGCAGCCAGGTATATTAGATTTGGGACAGAAATGGAGCCGGTATGTTCACAGGGTTAAAAGGTACCAGAGGAAGACAAGCAAGCAAGCCATTAAGATGGAAATTTTCAAGTGAGGTTGTAACTTAACAAAAGCCAGCACCAGGGATCTAGAGTTCACGTAGAAATAAAATGAAAAACCAAATGAAGAATAAAGAAATACAGAAAAAGCGAGCGGTTAAAAACACCACTAACTCTTAAGAGTAACTTCTTTAAGTACAGCTTCAAAACCAGGATTGCGTCTTAGTAACTTTACTTCCAGGAATATCACATAATTGTTAATTAACCTGTGGACACCCAATGTTTGTTGAATGAATTAGCAACACATTATTCCTGGGATCATTTCAACTGTAAAAGAATTTAGCCAGCATGCTTAACTGTAAATATAGGAAAGCATTTACAGAAAGAAATTTTCCAGAGCATCAAAAGTGAATTCTTTCTCAACTTGCAGATATAAATTAACTGAATAAACACTAAGAAAACCTGAGCTAAGAATCTATGAGGAGATCCGTAGTTACATCCTAATTTGTCACAATCACCAAAATTTAAAAAATACAATAGAGTACAAAAAGAACCTGCCCAAGAGCTAACACTTGACATACACAACAGAAGAGTGCTTGATAACACAACACTATGGAAAACTTACCCACAAACTGAAATCAATAGTTAAAATTACCTTGCTGCCAAAGAACTTCTCTTTAATAATCATACCCACCTGCTACTGCTACTCACAAAAATAAGGTTTCTCTCTGCATAAGCACAAAGCTACTATGTTCAACAGAAAACTAAATTTCTCCCATGCAATGACCCTGCAAATCATTCTATCTCAATGCAATCGTCTGACCATTAATTTCCTCAACCAGGTAGCTTTGTAGAAGATAATGTTTCCTAACTATGTAAGTTATAATGAATAAGTAATGTTGACTTCTAGTCGATAAGGCCAAAAGAGCACCAAAAGATGAAGGGTATTTTTTAAAGTAAAGTACTGAGAAGCCAAGTTGACATTCAGAGGTAGGAATTCACAATGTACTCTATTTAGTTTCCCTAGAAATTTATAAAAGCATACTCAACATTCAGTATTTTATCCCAAATATGTTACCTATTAAATTAGATCTCATAATGGGAAAAAACAGGCATGTCTTAATTATTTTAGTGAAAATGGTTTACTCCCCAATGCATGCTATAGACAAAAAAATCTGTTATTTTGGTAAATTTGGGACAATTAGTGTCAGAAAATAGTTCACTGTGTGTCTGCCTCATGCCAGAAAGACCTTGAAGCAAGCTAATAAAAAAAAAAAAAAGGGATACATCAATATGCAAAAGAAATCAGGCTAACTTTAAAAAGTCAAATATTTAAATGAACACAGTATAGAAGATACACTCATGAAAGCCTAGAGAATATGGAAATTAAAATTTTAAATGTTTACAACAGAAATCCAAAAGGAATTACAAATGCTTCTTTAACTTGTGAACTGTATCAGTAAATCTATTAAGTTTTTAAACTCATTATCATTAGAAGACTTGAACGCTTAAATGCAAACACAATAAAGATCTCAAAATAAATCAAGTAAATGGAAATCTACTTGAAAATGTTTAATTTCTTTCTTGGAAAAAAGTCCAGTATTTCTGTTATTCTCAGTGAAACATTTAGCACACTATATTCACAAATACATCCTTTATGGTCAGCTACTTGATTCCATTTTTAGATGCTCAAGTCAGCACCTTATTTGTAAAGCAGCTTGTTTAGTCAAGAATTGAGGGAAATCTTGATACAAACCATGTGGTCAAATGCCCACACTGGAAATACTACCACCTACTGTTTCATATAGAGATCTTGATAAAAACATTATATAAACAAAATGAAATTTCAACAACAAAAAAACTACTCACCACCATCCCTCTCTCTAATTCTGTGAATATGCACATTTTTGGCCTTATTGTGACCTGTGCTGTCACTATACTTGTTTTCAGGACTATCAGATCTCCGCAACATTTTATTTGGTGGTGAAGGATCTGCGGCGTCTCGCATTTTTTCATGTCTGTGATCACCACTACTGGGGTGACTCTTCGATGAATACTTAAGTGCCTGTAAAACATCACCCCCCCAAAGAAACAGAAAAAGAATTGAAACTTAAAAGTCCCAAATTACTTTTATCATAAACATGGATGTACTGATTTTAAGTTTATGAATTATATCAACAAAATTAAAATTTCCATTATCAATTATTCCTTTAAGTTATTCAGACAAGATGTACTGATTTTAAGTTTATGAATTATATCAACAAAATTAAAATTTCCATTTTCAATTATTCCTTTAAGTTATTCAGACAAGAACGGACTAAGAATCATTACAAAGCTCCTCATACAAATGATACTTTTAAAACAAAAGGGAAAAAACCTCCAGTACGTGATCTCAAAAACACAAGAAATTAAAGACATTTGTATGTTAATTCCTCGATCAGCTTTTCTGGAAATTAAAAAGTTTAAAGACAAGTAAAAACTGAATACTACATAATGTATTTTTACTGTATAGCTGATAAACAGACACAAGCATAAATAACAATCATGTTGCAAACCTACAAAACCACAAAGTGTCAGTCTCACCAATTATTTGATAGAAATAAAGCATTTCGTACTTAACTACTCTTGCAGATGTGTGAAGCAATTTTCTGGCATACTGAGCTATACATTTAACATAACATAATGGAATTCTCTCAAACACTGGTTTAGTTATTGTAAGATATTTTTTAAGACAACCATGCTATCGCAATCTCTTACAATGTGCAATTACGTTTCAAAGGGGCAGGCCCAATAGGGTTGAATGGCTTCCATATCCAAAAGTAACAAAGTCTTACACATCAGGGGAGCTAGGGCTTTAACTTCTGCTTTAGCTCAGCAAGCCAGTAACAACAACCAGCTTACACAGATAGCTTTTAAGTGATCTGATGTAAGGACTACTTACTTCTGGTGTCATCTCAGTTAGCAAACATTTATAAAAATCCCCCCCTCCCCAAAAACAGGAGCCACTTTCTAGCATAATTTTTAAAAACTGCAACTGCAGTAACCAAAACGAACCTAGGTACCTAGAGCCATAGCCATTAAAAAGAGCTATCCAAGTACCCAAAGACCTCAAGCCTTGCAGAAACAAAAGCACTTTCACTAAGGCAATTGCTTGCAACCAAAAATAAATAAAATGTTAAGGAACAGTGGTTAAAACCGACCTACAAGTTGCCAATCAATTAGCAGTTTCTTCCCAGGCCCTTCATCTAACCACATTATTTTGACGTTAACTTTTAGCTTCCCCAAACAATGAATAGGGTTCAGAAATCACCTATCACCTTATCCCAATGACTCCTGACACCCAAATAATCAAGCCAGGTGCTTCTTGGCTGCTAATTTTTTTTTCCTTCCTAAAAAGAAACCTGGACTTCGTGCAGTCACCCGTCAAAATAAGTCACTCAACGTTGCCGGAGAGCGCTAATGAGCCCAAACACAGAATTTTCAGGGGACCCCGCGGTGCTAGTTCGGATTTGTTGCACCGAAGGGCCTGTAGCGACTTGTGAAGCCTGCGCTCGAGTAGCAGTTCCTCCCTTCCCCCGCCGTCCCCCCATCCACTCCTCCACCCCAGCCTCGGCTGGTACCTGGTAAGGCTGCGAGTCCCCCCTCCGGTCGTGACAGCTGAAAAACAGGAAGAGAGACGGCGACATAAGACATCTGGGGTGGGGGGAAGGAAGCAAACGCGTTCCCCCCCCCCGGGCCCCTCCCCGCGGGAGACCTACCACACGCCCCGGCGACGGGCGCACACACACCCCGAACACCCCGCTCAAAGGCGGCCGGGAGGGGGGGACGCGGTCCGCGGCCGGCCCCCGCTCCCTCTCACTCCCTCGGCCCTCGCCCGCTCGCGCGGCCTCTCCTCCTCCCCAGCCCGATCCGGATCAGGGTTAACAACAAAAATGGCGGCTCGGCCAGCACCAGATAAGGAGGAACAGCCCCCCCCGCCGCCGCCGCCCCCCGCCCCCCGCCCCCGCGGCGGCCCGGCCCGAAACGAAAAGACGATTTACCCATCACTGAGTCTCTGCTGTTTCCTCGCATACATTACCATCAATGCCCGGCCTGTGAGTGTGTGTCGGGGGAGGGGGAGAGCGGCCGCGAGAAGCGGGCGGGCGCGCGGGCGCGCGGGCGGGTCCCCTGGGGCGGGTGGGTGCGGTCAGGGCCTCTGCCTTCCCATGGAGCCCGA